ACAGCAGTATGTTGGTTACCAGAGGGAAGGAAGTGGGGATTTGTAAAGTGTAAAGGGGGTCAAATATATGGTGACAGAAGGAGATTTGACTTTGGGTGGTGGGCCCACAATGCAATATGTAGATCATGTATCATAGAATTGTACACTTGAAACTTACATAATCTTATTGACTAATGTTGCCGTCTTATTAAAAAAAAAAAGACTAGGCACTCTGATAGTTTTTTTAAGAGAAAAACAATCAGGCCATAAAGAAAATAGTTTTTATTTGCTTAAGTCACTTTCTTAATTTAATGAACAGAAAAGTCTGGTTTCTATTGACGATGAATTTCTTCAGGGCGTCTTTCACCTCCTTGTTCCTGAGACTGTAGATCAGGGGGTTCAGCATGGGAATGATCACTGTGTAGAAAACAGAGGCCATCTTATCTGTGTCAAGGGAATGGTTAGAGCTTGGCTGTAAGTACATAAAGATCAGGGTCCCATAGAATATGGTGACTGCCAGCATGTGGGAGCCACATGTGGAGAAAGCCTTGCGTCTTCCCTCAGCTGAGCGCATCCTCAGGATTGTAGAAATAATGTATACGTAGGAGACAAAGACAACCAGAAGGGAAGATATGAACATGATACCAGCACAGGCAAAGATCCACAGCTGTTTGGAGTGTGTGTCTGAGCAAGTTAGCCTGAGGAGAGGCATGTCATCACAATAGAAATGGTTGATGACATTAGAGTGGCAATAGGAGAGGCGAAAGGTGAGGATGGTATGAAACAGTGCAACCAGGAAGCTATAGCTGTAGGGGACAACCACAAGCTGAATGCAGATTCCTGGGGACATCACAACCATATAGAGGAGAGGGTTACAAATGGCCACATATCGGTCATAAGCCATGGAAGCCAGAAGCAAGCATTCGGCTGTCATGAAGGCCAGGAAACAGCCTAACTGAGCAGCACAGGCATTGAAGGAGATAACATTTTGTTTGTATAAGAAATTCCCAAGCATTTTGGGTGTAATGACAGAAGTATAACAGAAATCAACAAAAGCCAGGTTGCTAAGGAAGAAGTACATTGGCGTGTTGAGTCTTGCATCTGTCTTAATGACTAGGACCAAACCCAGGTTGCCTACTACTGTGAAGAGGTAGATGGATAAGAAAACCACAAAGAGAGGCATCTTTAAGTCCTGACGATCTGTGAGGCCCATGAGAATAAACTCCTTTACGTGGGTACAGTTGATGTGGGCCATGGACCTTCAGTGTGTCTGGATGGAGAGAGGAGAATTAAATCCATATTAATTGAATTAACCTTAAAACTCTAAAATGTGTTTTTATTACTTAACATCCTGAAAGTGGTATACTTGGAATCTGGGATGGAACGAAGAGTAAAAGTAAATATTTTGGAGGAAATACTTATTTCTTTCACCCAAATCAATTGCATTTTAAAAATAAGAGTGGTATGGTAGTAAGCAGTCCATATTGGCTCTCTGTTCGAAGATGTTGTGTATTATATTATTTACAATTAAATATTAATTTTTCAAAACTCAAAAAATATTATTGGTATTGAAAAAGTTTAACATGAATAACACAAAGGAAAATGAATGTTCTGTAGTAACATCACTCTTCAACCTGTTAGTAAATTTATAATGTCATGTGCCATATTTCTTTTTCTTTCACTTTATCCATACAACAATTAAAAATAATTTTGAGGAAACTAATAAATTGCTTTGTTTCACAGCGGACGTGACTTGGCATATTGGACAGATAAAGTTACTAATATTTCTTGTCTTTTCAGTGACTAATGGCTTTTATATACTACTCCTCTTGCTCAGGTAATGTCAAAAAGTTTTCATGCAATTTACTGAATGAGAGAAAATATTTATAAATCATATTGTAATAAGGGGTTGGTATCCAAAATATATAAAGAATTCATACAACTCAATAGCAAGAAACCCCACACAAAACACAAAAAAACTCCTCACAAAACATAAACAATTAGATTAACAGGTGGGCAGAAGATCTAAATACTAAACATTTTCCCAAAGAAGACATACAAATGGCCAATAGGCACATGAATAGATGCTTAACCTCATTATTCACCAGGGGAATGCAAATAAAAACCACAATGACGTATCAACTCATGCTTGTTATAAAAAAACAAAACAAAATTTCCCAAAGAAGACATACAAATGGCCAATAGGCACATAAATAGATGCTTAACCTCATTATTCACCAGGGGAATTCAAATAAAAACCACAATGACATATCAACTCATGCTTGTTATAAAAAAAAACCCCACCAACACATGCTAGTAAGAGATAACAAGGATTGGCAAGATGTGGAAAAAAGGGAACCCGTGTACACTTTTGATGAGAATGTATATTCGTACAGACACTGTGGAAATCAATATGGGGGTTTGTCAAAAATAAAAAATTGAACTACCATAGGATCTGACAATTCCACTTCTGGGTACTTATCTGAAGAAAATGAATACACTAAAGATTACTACAGCCAATAACCATCATGATATGGGTAAGACAATTAAAGTTTTAAAATCCTAGTCTGGGGCCCCACAAATATATAAAATCCATTTTGAAACAAATAAGCAACTTTTGATAGGAAATTTGGTTTCCAAGTCCCAAGATACCAGCTAAGTCTTCACTGTTTTGTACCTGTAAGACCTTCAGTATGTCATCTCATCTTATTTTGATGCATATATAGGCAAACATATTTGAAAGCATATTTTATAAGACCTTTTACCATCTAACCCAAATATTTATAATGTTTTTAAAATTAGAAAATATTGAATATAATATGTTATATTCAAATTATACTCACATCGCTTCTGTCACAACCAACACACAGTAATCTAATCAGAACATTTGTTTTGTGGTCTTTAATTACTACATGCCCTTACATGCTTCTCTACTTTTATATATGCTTTTTTTCTATGCTCATCTCTACCAGGTTTATGGAGATAAAGAGTTGAAGGGAGAACTTCTAATTATCTTTCAAGGCCTACCAAAATCCTACCTCTTCTACAAAGACTCCTTGATTTCTAATGCCCATGATCTGATACATAAGTTTCCCTCTTTGTGATGGAGAAACATTTTACACATAGTTCATTTATATGACATTTAACATTTATGGCAGCCATCTACTTCCACATTTTTCTCTTGATAAATTGTGGACTTCATGCGTAAAACTCATGATTTTTCATACATTTTATACTCTAGTCTTTTCTAGATGCTTGGTGTGGAGAATTAAAGATTAATATTTGTTCCCTGCCAGCGTGCCTCCATGATTGAGCATTGACCTATGAACCAGCAGGTCACAGTTCGATTCCCGGTCAGGGCAAATGCCCATGTTGAGGGCTTGATCCCCAGTATGGGGTATGCAGGAGGCAGCCAATCAATTATTTTTTTCTCATCATTTATGTTTCTATCTCTCTCAATAAAAAAATATGTTAAAAAGATTAATTTTTGTAATAATATTTCAATATTCATTCCCCTTGCTCATAAAGAATGTCCTTAGGGCATTATGAGACATATTGATGACTTGATTTCAACACTCTCACTTCTCATAATAGGTACAATTATTAGCTTTTGCAAAAATGAGAAGAGTTTTGACAGAGATTACAGTCTAGCCAGTTAAGTGCCTGACTTATTCAAATGGTATAATAGATTCTATTTTGGAGACCTCAAATCTTATTTTCATTTCAAACTAATAAGAACTATATTATATGTAATATCAGAAATATATACAGAAATAAATTTAGAGAGAACACTCTATTTTCAGAAAATGCCACCTGAAATTTTTAAAGGACATTCTATTTTCTTCTACTTAATTTAAAAATGACTATCTTGATCCCAATTTTAAAATGCAGCCGTTGAATCTACCTGAGTAGAGGGCATTCCTATTTCTTCTGCAAGTGGGTTTGGGCAGCAACAAACTGCTGGGTTTTGTCAGTGACTCTAACCCAAGGGATCTTACGTAAGAGTATGATGCAGGTAAGATCATAAGAAAAATTACAGTCCAAACTCCATAGGGATCCCAAGGCAGCTGGAGATCAATTAACATTACCTCTGGTTCTGAGGAAACACCCCTCTATTGCTCTCCCTTTAGTCTGACATTATTGCCCTAATACTTGTCTAGATGACAATGGCTTAGGGCAGACTTTCTCAACATTGGCACTATTACCATTTGGGGATGGATAATTTTTGTGTGAGAGACTCCTTTGTGCTTTGTAGATTATTCAGCTCATCCCCAGCCTCAACACTCTAGACCAGTGATGGCGAACCTATGAGACGCGAACTCATTTTTTTTGGTTGATTTTTCTTTGTTAAATGGCATTTAAATATATAAAATAAATATCAAAAATATAAGTCTTTGTTTTACTATGGTTGCAAATATCAAAAAAATTCTATATGTGACACGGCACCAGAGTTAAGTTAGGGTTTTTCAAAATGCTGACACGCCGAGCTCAAAAGGTTCGCCATCACTGCTCTAGACAACAATAGTATTCCTTTACACCCCCTTGTCATGATGAAAATCAATAATATTTGCAGACATTGACAAATCTCCCCAGGGGAAAGAAAATCATGCCTGATTGACACCACATGTTTGCAGTGGTCTCTTGGCACTTAATTTGAAAGATATTATTAAAGCACTCATAAGTATGTTAAAACGCTCTTATAATCCTAAACTGGGTATTCAGAGTGCCTTCACTTTTATTTTTGGCCAATAACTAGTTATGTAACTAGCAAATGAGATAATGGAATTTCAAAAATTCACATTTTTTCATTTCAGAAATAACACAGTGTAAATTCTTATGGTAGTTGCTACACATAAATAATAATTTTAAGCCAAACTTGCATACAAAGAATTGAGAGAATGATTTCATTTTACAGTGAACAAATCTTTATTCAGAACCAACTAAGATCAAGACACTCAACTAGTTTTATTATTAGAGGGGGGAAAAGCTCATTAAGGACAGGTCACTTTTGTAGAGTCAAATCATTTTTCAAATTTCAGGAACCCAGAAGCCTGGTTTCTATTGATGGTGACTTTCTTCAGGGCGTCTTTCACATCCTTATTCCTGAGACTGTAGATCAAGGGATTCAGCATAGGAATGATCACTGTGTAGAAGACAGAGGCCGTCTTATCTGTGTCAAGGGAATGGTTAGAGCTTGGCTGTAAGTACATAAAGATCAGGGTCCCATAGAATATGGTGACTGCCAGCATGTGGGAGCCACATGTGGAGAAGGCTTTGCGTCTTCCCTCAGCTGAGCGCATCCTCAGGATGGCAAAAATAATAAACATGTAGGAGACAAAGACAATGAGAACAGAGGAAATGAACGTGATACCAGCACAGGCAAAGATCCACAGCTGTTTGGAGTGTGTGTCTGAGGAAGTTAGCCTGAGGAGAGGCATGTCATCACAATAGAAATGGTTGATGACATTAGAGTGGCAATAGGAGAGGCGAAAGGTGAGGATGGTATGAAACAGTGCCATCAGGAAGCTATAGCTATAGGGGACAGCTACAAGCTGAATGCAGATTCCTGGGGACATCACAACCATGTAGAGGAGAGGGTTACAAATGGCCACATACCGATCATAAGCCATGGAAGCGAGTAGCAAACACTCAGATACCATGAAAGTGAGGAAACAGCCTAACTGAGCAGCACAGGCATTGAAGGAGATAACATTTTGTTTGTATAAGAAATTCCCAAGCATTTTGGGGGTAATGACAGAAGCATAACAGAAATCAACAAAAGCCAGGTTGCTAAGAAAGAAGTACATTGGTGTGTTGAGTTTTGCATCAGTTTTAATAACTAGGATCAAACCTAGATTGCCTACTACTGTAAAGAGGTAGATGGTTAAGAAAACCACAAAAAGAGGCATCTTCCACTCCTTTTGATTCGCGAGGCCCATAAAAATAAACTCCTGTACTTGGGTGCAATTAATATGGGCCATATCTCTTCAAGGCATCTGCATGAGGAAGTAGAGAAAAGAGGAAAATTCAAGTTGCCATACCCACAAGTGGTGTTTTATACTTTAGTGTCTTGTAAAGAGGTTTTGTTGCTAATAGAGACTGCTAGCATACTGGGATATTGGGAACAGGAGGGATAGCAGACAGAGATATATGTGGGACAAGCATATCTCCTCTCCCAAACCCATTATATATACAAAGATGGGTGCTATGCAATAGTCCACCTTGCCTTGGTTTCTATTCAAAGGTCTTATCCATTAAGCTATTTAACACTATAAGCTGCCTTGTTAAAATTGATTTTTTTATTGAAAATATGTTAACATAAATAGCATAAAAGAAAACAAATCTGCAGTGACACCACTGTGACAGATGTCATTGTACCTGTGCCGACACAGCTCTACATTGTCCTAACACTGTCAGAAACATTTTATATATAATTGTGTATATATATATATATACATACACACACACACATATATATATATATATACATATACATATACATATATATATATAAAACAAGATTGGGTGCAAAGAGTAAAGAAAGCCCCGGATATATATACAATTATATATATAGTTGTAATAATTTATCACTTTAAGGTTACTACAGTCTGCAAAATAATATTTATAGTCATGCTAATAATGCAAATACTAAAACGGGTAAGTACAGAAGGTGCAATAAGGCAATTATTTACATCATTTCATCCCACTGAACTTTAAGTCGAAACCACATTATTATGCCCATTGTACAGATGAGGAAGAGGAGATTGGAAAAGAAACACCCAAAACAAAATCAGATGGCTGCTGTAAGTACAGTTAGTTGGGTTTCAAATCTGTATGTTTCTGACTCAACATCCACACCTCATTACTATACTGTCAATATTGCATTTCTTATTTATTCTGTTATTAGAAACTTAAATTATTTCTAGGTTTTGATTGCTATAGTATTGAACAAACATCTTTATCTCTAAAAGATAAACTTACATGACCAAAGAGAATAAATCCTCATATAATTTTATGATATATTGTAATTTAGAATAAAATTGATGTTTTCTTTCTAAGAAATTCAGAAATGTATGTCTCTTTAAAAGCTGATTTACAAACTTTTTGTGCTCTGTGGCAAAAACAGTCTGAAAACACGGAGCTCGTAATACATCCATAATAATACTCTCATTACCTGGCATGCACTTATCTTGCATGTTCTTTTGTACACTACTGCAATCTGCTCTATTTTATTTAAATAAAATAATTCTGATCAAGATTCTAAAAACTGAGTTCATGATCTACTAGTAGTGACAAACACAGTTTCAAAAGCTAAACTTCATCAACAGAAGACCATCACCATTTTCACCAACATAAAAGTAGATTCACAATTTATCTATAAACAGCTCCAAGAGACACTTCCCACCCTGATCTGCATATTCTGTCTTTATCCTATGTCTTGATGATGTCTAATTGTCACTTCTTTTGGCATCTATTTCAATCCACTCATTCCCTCATTTAATAATGTATGTTGGGAGCTATTAATTTCTAGACACTGGAGTCTGAAGATAGAGCATTGAAAAAACAGACAATATAGTAGACTACAAAGAATGAAAGCTTTATCCAAATTTTCTTTATTTTTATGGTCTCTTTTCCTCTCATTTTTTTCCCTACTTTCAGAACAAAAAGACAAAATAAAACTCTGACATTTGTACATACAAATCATTTTACTTCATAAAAAATAAAATACGAATTACATTTGAAAAGCATATGTAACTTTTTAGGGACAATCTTGTCCCTAAAAATTTTTATAATCCCAACTCCACTCAACTGTTCTAACATCTATGGACATCCATTGGTAACATTAATATAACTAGTCTTCATTTGTCAATAACAATATTCCCTCCATGCTTCTCTACTTTTTTTCCTTGCCATTCCTAGTCCCCTTCCCTACAAACAAAAAGGATAGTTGAAGGGAAAATTCTATTTATCCTTCAAAACCTGTGGAAATATCGCCTCTTCATTGAAGAGCCATTTCCCACATTGAGTGACCATATTTCATATTTGTGTTCTAGAATCACTTTAGATATACTTCCCTTATATTTCTTCTCACATTTATAACAGCCATCTGTTTCATACCTCTTCCCCTGATACACATAGACACTTTAAGATTGAGAGCCATGCTGCCTCTTTGTTTTTTCCCATTTACTATTACAGCCTCTTCTAGATGGTAGTTAATATGGAATAAAATATTAATTTTTTATTAATGTAATATTACTATAATAATAATAATAATAATAATAATAATAATAATTATGTTTGAATATTTCTTCC